TAAGTTGTCTCTCATGAATAGAAGACAGATCCTGCCCAGGTCACTTTTCCCAACTCCTAATCTGTGGCTAAGTACTTAATCCTTGTTGCTGATTCTACTAATCATCAATAAGTTAAAATTATTTAAGTGCCCCACACAGAACATGTCATTGTATGTTTGTTTGTACTACAACGACTAGCTTCTACATTGTTTTTCATTGTTTGCTTTCCTGAGGTTGGAGAGGAATTTATCAACTACCAATAACCTATTATTGTCATACTGCAGACACAAAGTGTTATGATAATGGACTGTCAACCCTGAATGTTCTGAGATAACACATGAATAATTAGAGGATTTTTTTTCTACAAGTTAATTCTCAAATATAACAATGCATGAAATGCTTAGAGTTCCTATTTACCAATGAAATGTTAGACACATAAAACAAACAGGGGACCTGAATATTATTTTCAAGTAAATGTGTGCATGTGAAAGGATGGTTTAGTAATCATTTCATCTCAGGGAAATTTTTGTATCAAAATTGATAGTATTTTGGTTTATAGATTAGATCTCTAAGATCTGGTAGAAAGAAGAACAAACTGGTCATTTAACTTTGGGGCTTGATAACTTACTTGATGTTATCTATATCTATGATGGTTAATGACAAATTCCAGTTTGGAAACACCGTTGTTAAAACAAATGTAATGTTTGGATACTAGAGACATAGGAGCAGAAGGTCACCTATGCACTTGCCCCTACCTTCTTTGACTGATTCCTCCAAGATGAATATTAAAGCAAATGTTGGTATAATCTCTAGAATGAACAAATCCTATTTTTGTTAGAATTTGAGAGATTTTGTTTTAGATCTAATTTCATAACTTGCAAGAACATCAGGATATATATCTTATATATAATCAATATATATCATATTATATATAATCCATATATAGTATTTGTTTCATACTGTGATATGTATTATATATAACAATATATATGTTTATATACATATATGTGTGTGTGCATGCATAGATAGATAGATAGATAGATATAAAATCTCCTCTGATTTGTAACAAAGAAGACATTGAGTGATTGTTTTGGCAAGTATCATTCAGCTAATTCCACAGCTGTCACTAAAATCTGCTTGGTTTCCTAAAATCATAGTGCACCCTCTTTAAGAAGAAGAGCAAGAGGAAAAAGGAAAAAGGAATATAAGATTTAAAGGGGTCAGAAGTTCATATAGTCCAGGTGTAATTTAAGATGATAATTTAGTGTTTTAAATACTTAATCTACATAATTTAGATATGAATGGGAGTTTTCTTTTGGGCGGGGTACTAGGGATTGAACTCGGTGCACTCAACCACTGAGCCATGTCCCCAACCCATTTTTGTATTTTATTTAGAGACAGGGTCTCACTGAGTTGCATTGCACCTCGCTGTTCTGAGGCTGACACTGAACCAATGATCTTCCTGTCTCAGCCTCCAGGAGCCACTGGGATTACAGGAATGGGGGTTTTCTTTATCCTCCAAAGAAAAATTATTTAATACAAGACATGCTACTACAATAGGAGTGAGAGGGAAATCATGAGGACTAAAGTCAAATGTTTGCCTTACATGACTTCTAGGGATGAATCAGCCTTAGAGAATGAAAATGATAGGAGGCTCTTGGAATAGCTACTGGAAGAATACATTGTTAATATGGAGAGGTTGAGATGCAAATTGTTTCAAAATTAAGAAAATTCTAATGCCATCAGTTAGAGATTTGCCTCTCTGCTCCTTTCTGGCTAAAAAAAAAAATGTACTAATCAATTATAAGGGGTTCCTAACAACACCCTCAACTAATCTTGATTCTCCTAGAAACTAGATGTGTTTAGGAACATTTCTTCTGATAGATGAAAAGGCAAGGAAGCTATACAGATTAGTAAATTGTCTTCACATATGGAATGTTTGTTAGTGCTTTGCCACCAAGGTTGTACACAGACATAGGTAGTGGAAATAAGTAGACCACAGACTCGAGGGTATTTTGACAAAGTAAGAAAAGCAAAATGCATTGGAGAAAATTCTGGGAAAAGGGTTATTCTATCTGGAGTTGAGAAATTATCCTGTTCAAAAGTTCTTTATAAGGATACTGGAACACTTTGCATTAGATGGTTCATGATCTTTTAAAAAGTAGAAGTTTGAGTCATTATTAGGGTCTAGTATTATGTATGCTGTAAAAATGCTTTTGACATCTGATCCCCATGTCACATTTAAGGAAGGAATTACGAGGTCAGTCCTCCACAAAGTCAGTAAGATGTAAAATAGCAGCCTGTCTCTAAAATGAGAGGCAAAGAGCAACCCTGGGGGGAGGGGAGAATGACTTTTTCTTTTTCTTTCTTTCTTTCTTTCTTTTTTTCCGTACCAGGTATTGGGCCCGGGAGCGTTTAACCGCTAAGCCACCACAGACCCACAGACTCCTCCCTTTTATTTATTTTTTGAGACAGGGTCTAGCTAAGTTGCTGAGGCGGTCTTCCAACCTGTGATCTTCCTGCCTCAGCCTCCCCAGTGACTGGGTGAACAGGCACGTGGCCACCAGGCCTGGCTGCCTTCCCATTCTGTAGCTGAGATTTTTCACTTCTGCTCATTGCTTCCTGTCTCAACAGCCCCAGTGGTTATGAATAACAACAGCAAGAATATTACTGTTTATATATTTAAATTGCTATTTATGGATATTTTTACCAATGTGAGCATCTCACTAAATATTAATAAAAAGAAGAGAAACTTTGCGTACCATTTTGTTAACTTTATTGAATGAATAATTTAAAGCCACGAATTGTTCATGGGGGGGGGGCGGGGGGGGGAGACGGACAACTTAGGCTGCTTTCCCTTCATATCTTTTCTTTCTTTTTTTTTTTTAAACATGAGTCCCACAATACTGGTACATTTTATTTCCATTTTTATTTTAAATTCCTAGTCTTACCATATTGTAATACTGTGGCCATATTACTGTAATTTTTTTAAAAATCATATGCAAAAAAAGGATTCTTTTAGAATGGAAAATAGTCTCTGCCCCAAATTTGCTTTCTCAAACAGTCAACAGGTCCAAGAATCTCCCGCGCCTAACTTCATTCTGCTGTTTAATTTTGGATTTTGTTTTGTTGGTTCTGGAAATTGAACCCTATATGTCCCGCTTGCTTAAGTGCGCGCTCTACCACGGAGTTAACCCCAGCCCCTGAAGTTAGTTTTCAACAGACCCCTGGCCTTCGTGGGGAGACCTCTGGGGCCCCAGTTTGGGAACAGCCACCGTGTGGCGAGATGCTGGAACTAGCACCTTCTGATTGGGTAGGAACTGGGGCCCTTTCCGGCTCCAGACCGAGCGCGTGGAGCTGGCCCGCGCCTCGACTCTTCCCAGAACGCGCGCGCCCCCTGGCGGCCCGAGCCGATAACTCGGAGCCTCGATGGCCGGGCTATTCCGGGACCCCATCCTGCCCAGTGTTGGAGGCTCTCGGAGCCACTTGGTAACCTGGTCTAAAATAACCTCAGGCAGCTCGGGGCGAGCCTCCCTAAACTCAGGCTACGCCGGCCACTTGCGCCATGCCACTTGCGCCATGCCACTTGCGTGTTCTCTGGGGCCCACTCCGGAGGTGACACTGTGTCCCAGCATCCGAAGCGCCATAACTTACAGGTCTCAGCCTTTTCCTGGGCCAGGAGCCTTGGCAGGCAATAACAGCAGCGAGCCCCGTACCTGCATTTCAGAGAGCCGCCGAGCGAGCGCCCCTTCCTGGCCCCCAGATCCCGCGCACAAGGGGGCCGAGCCCCGGGAAGGGGAAGAACTTGTAATCGCTTGCAGCGGGACAATGCCGACTTTTGAACCTCTAACCACTAAGCAAACAACCCTTGTGCTCTAGCTCCACTGTCCAAACAAGGTTTATTGACAGGCGTTTCACGGCAACGCTTAGCAACGGCTGCCGTCGCGGAGCACAGGCGTGTGGGCGCGGTCAGGGCGCGGGGCTGCTTTCCCTCCCTGCGCCTGGAGACTCGGGGAGAGTGGGGATCGCCCTGGCCCGGAACTGGTACCTGTAGCCCAGCGGGCGCCCACGCAGTCTCCGTAACAGCCCCCTCCCCCTGTCTCCGACTCCAAGGCCTGGCGCCCGCGGGCTCTGCCCCTAGAGCCCTTTTCTCAATCCTGGAGCGGAATGCGCCACCCGGAAGGGCTACGAAATTAGGGAGGTTCTGCAGGGGGCATTTATGCCTCCTTCTGTCTCCCAGCTGGGTTCAGCCTTTCCTTTGAAAGCAATGCTTGAGGCGCTTCTTCCCTCGGTGGAGATTGAAATGGGGGGGAAAGCTCTCCTTTCCCTGGCCCAGTCGTGCGCCCAGTTCCTTGGCCCCCAGCGGATCAACCAGATAATAAGCAACTAGCACTGCAAGGATCTTGTCTGTGGTGGGTGGGATGGGGATGGGATAAGGACACCACGGGATAGGGGAAAGAGTTTAAGGAAATGCCCAGTGATTCATTCATGGAAATGTTGCCTGGGAAATGGTTATGTTTAATTCGCTGGGTTGTGGGGCATCCATAGGAAGGAAGGGGGTCACTGATGGGGGTGGGGTGCCTAGTGTTTGCATTGCCTGGGTATGGATTTGATGAGATGCTGAGACAGAGGAGGCCCTCTCAGCCCTACCCGCCCCCCACCCATAATTCCGCAGCAGCTGGGAAGCAGCTGACCATTCAGATGTGCATTTTGCCCAAAGGCACCCCCAGGAGAACCACACATTCCACTCTCCAAGGCTGGACTTAGGCTTGGGGGCAGGGAAGGTCTCAGTACCTTCACCCTCAGGCTTCTGACGCTCCCGGGTAAAGAGAGGTTGCCCAGATAACCTTCTCCACACTCTCCCTGATTTTTTTTTTTTTTTTTAACTTTTGGCTTGCAACAGATAAGGTATTTCATTTCTTAGAAAACAATAATTTCATCCAATTCTAAAGAAAATCAATTACAAAATCTGAAATCTGAAAAGTTCATTTATCTTTTTTTTCTTTTCCTTTTTAGAAAACTTCAGCTGTGTTCAGATACCCCCTTCCCTTCACCATATCACTTCTCTCCCCATGGATCCAGAAGGCTTTTAAAAGGCTGACTTGGATGTTACACAGACCAACAACCCAAACAACAGCAACAACAACAACAACAAAAAAACTCCCCTTCTTCATCAGCCCCAAGATTGTGAAAATGACAGGAAGTCCAGGTTGGCTCTGGCATTTATAGCACTGACATACATTCAGCCCAGAGAAGCTCTGGTGACAGGCTTTCTAAACAAGGCCCTGGGCGGGGCCTCCCACATTATGCCTGGAGTCCACTCCCCACCACCACCCCCCCCACACACACACCACACACTCACACGCACCAGCTAAGCCTTTCCTGGTCTGGGAAGGGAGGAGAAGAAAGACACAGACCACCTGGGGGTTCTGCAGTCTTTGGTCAGTCCAGCTTTCTATCTTAGCTGCCTCTGGCTTCTGCAGTTTAAATTGTGCCTGCCCCTGAGGCAGGAGGGCCAGCTGGTTCTTGGAAGGCATTGAGCAGGAAATAGCCATCTTGGCTCCAAGTGTTGCTGGTCCCCTCTCTCCCCTCAGCTCCAATAAGAGAGGCCTCCCACAGATTCTGGAGGCAAAGCGCTGGGACAGAAAGGACTGAAGGCTTGGTCACCGTAGCCAGTCCAGGCAATACTTCTGTCAGTACCAAGTGAAGCCTCAGTGATCATTTCCTATATCCTCACTGACAAAAAAGTCAGAGGGGAAAAAGTAAAAAATCGGGAAGATGTCTTCCTTGAGGCCCCCCAATCCCATTTGTCTTTACTCTTGGCTCCCAATTTTCCTCTGAGAGCTAGATTTGTAGGTTATGTTTGTAGGTGGGAAGGAAGGGGTCTCTTCTGAGGATGCTAGCGGAGTCCATGCTCCTCCTGGCTCAGCCTGGAATTGCTCTGGGGCCACCGCAGACCACTGGGGTCACTGGGTGACAGTGGGGTTTAACACCCCCCCAGCTGGCCCCAGAACCCCAGGGACAGGGCCAGGCACTGAGCCTTGGAGGGAAGACACAGGACTCAAGGGCTCCGGGACACTTCTCAGAGGTCCCGGCTGTGGCTGGGGAGGCTGTTGGGGAGGCGGCTGGGGCTGCTGCTGCTGCTGTTGCTGTAACTTCTTCTTGTTGATTTTCCTTTCCTTTGCTCTGCGATTCTGAAACCAAATTTTAACCTAGGTGGAGCAAAAAAGAAGATGTGAAGGAAAAGAGGAACCGGACACTAATATCTTCCTCTCCAATGAAAGAGCCCCAGACTCTTCTAGAAGTTTCATTGGATATCTCCCTAACAGTTCAACCCTGGAACCATTTCCACACCCAACTCAGCCTCAAGAGAAGAGTCCTCCTCCTTTCTTGCTCCCCACTTTTCTTTCCAAAGGAATCTTTACTGGTAAAGTATAGAGTCCCCAAACCAAGGAAAACAGAAACTTGCTACAAGTCCTTCCCTATACAAGCACAAGGAGGCCGGTGCTGGGTATACTTCACATGACAACCTTTGCCTTTTATAGCTAAACTGAACTGTAATATTCCTCACCTTGGAGCTGAAAATGAAATTTAATGTGGAGTTTCCTGGCTATGAGTTTGGCCTGCTTTTTGTTTTGTTTCGCTTTGCTTTGTAGACTATAGAGAGTGTTCATAAGTCAATCCCTCTAGTTTTTATGAGCAGAGACTGGGCTCTTTTTTTTTTTTCTAATTCTGGGCACACACAAAAAAACTGGTCTTGATAGATCTTGATTGCCCAACTGGAATTCAAGATTAAAGTAATGTTCTTGGCTTTTTCTTGCACCTCTCAGGAGCTCTCAAAATAGAAAAAAAAAATTCAACCACATTAGAAAATATAGCCAGAGGTAGAAGGAAACCTTTAAGAAAAGCATTCAAAATGCAAATGCTCTTTTATCCCACAGAACTTAGTGGACACTTGGCCAGGCTAATTCAATCTCAAGGTCTCCCCCAAGCAGCAGCCAGGCCTGCAAGAACAGGGTGATTCCCACCTGTCTCTCAGAGAGCCCCAGTGTGGCAGCCAGCTCGGCTTTCCTCCGAATGGTGATGTAGCGACTGTAGTGAAACTCCTTCTCCAGCTCCAGCCGCTGGTGGTCCGTGTACACCACTCGGTATTTGTCTTTCGTCCTGGTTTTCACTGTGCAGGAAGGAGAAGTTAGGGCTGAGAACCACAAAGCAGCTCATCAGTCATAGGTAATGACAAACCTCCCTAACCCGGGGGCCATTTCTCTTCCTCCACCGCCCTGGGAGGCCGAGGGTTTGGCTGGTTCCTGCCAAGTCTGACAAGGCACCCCCACCCCAGAGGATCCTGGGGGAAAGGGAGTGTGTGAGGCTAGCAGGGCAACTAAACTAACCTTGGGGTTAAGTGGTTTTTAAAAATTAAGAAAAACTAAAACTTCACATACAGAGAAGATAGCAGAACCCAGCCCAGCTTACCATTTTGAAAAACCAAATATAGTACTAGAATAAATTTGGCACCAAAGGAAGGTGGGGGGAGTGGCCAGACTCTAGGAATATCCAGATTATCAGACCTACCAGAGACCAGCATCCCATCTGGAAACAGTTGGGGTTCTATGTGTTGTGGAATAAGGGTTAGTATGTTTTACTACAAATGGAAAGAGGGGTGCAGGAGCTGACAGTTTCCTTCAAGTCATCAGAATCATCTTGCAGACATATCAGATCTTCCAAACAAATTCTGAGTTGGGCTCTGGCAGTAACCTATGCTGGCGGGTGGATCATTGCTCCAGCTGGGGATAATATACCTGCTGGAACCAGGTCTAGCCTTGGGTAGTTTTTCTTTCTTAATCCTCCATTTATTCCTACTGCAAACCCCACTAGAGCTATTCTGACCAGTGATCTATGATCATTGGATTGAGTCAACATATTAAATCTTGGGTTGATTGTTTTACTGGAGGGCCTTGACAAATAGTGTCGCTGCTGTGGGAGCAGGCCAGAGCCTGGCGTCTCCATTGAGTCTGTCCTGGGTCGGCTCTTGTCCCATCCCTGGCCAGGAGCTGTTTTTTCTCTGACTGGGTCCCAGGTCGGGGTGGTCTTGCAGCTGAACAGGTTCAATCTCCCAGTGCCCAGTCGTACAGGAAGATCTAAAGGGTCTGGGAGTTGCCTTTGGAGGTGTTTAATGCCCCACAGGCCGACTTTGTTCAGGTAAAACCCTTTGCAAACCACAACAAAAGCGCCCTGGGAAGATACAGGCGGGATCAGAGGGAGCTCCCCCAGCCGCTGAAAGGGGAACACAGCCACAAACAATGCAGGACAAGGCGATCTTATCAAAGAAAAGCCCTTTCAATGCCTTAATAACAACCGCATTCTGTTTGAATTACCACTACTGAGCAAATGGCGGCCAGCTTTCATCCCCCTCCCCGCCAGGCGCATTAACATAAACACTGCCCGGCAGGCGCATTTGAATGGGCGCTGGGAGCCCGACCCCGCGCCTGCTAAGGGAACTAACACGTCCCGGGCGCCGGGAGCCTCGTACGTGGTGGGAGCATTCACACGCATTACCTACCGCCTGAAACCCAGGGCTTCTGCCCTTGGTACAATCCCTTTGCTCAGAGGAGGAAAGAGAATCAGACTAGATAAGGCACAGATAAGACAGGGCTGGTACTGGAGCCCGCTTAGAAAATAAAGGACACGTCAGGCCTGGGGAGCCGGGCACAGGATATTTCCCCCAGCCGAACACCCCAGGAGCGATACTCGCCTTGGGGTGCCTCGGAGTGGCCTTTGTTCGGGTGCTGCCCTTTCAGTGTCCGGGGCGGGCGGGGGAACGCGGTGACCAGGACCCGGTGTGCTCTGAGGCCCGCGCCCCAAGAGCCTTGGAGGCGCCCCGCACCCCCTGGGAACCAAGGAGGGGGGCTGAAAAGGGGGAGGGATGAGAGGGACTTGTCAGAATTCATTATTGACTGCGAAAGTCACCACCCTCTTTCCGGGCCCTAAAAGAGACAATGGCAGGGCTGGGAAGGTGTATATCAAAGCCGGCCGGGCCGCGTACCCACCCCCCTCCGCCCCTTGACAGATGACGCTCCGCAGAGGAGTCGGGCTTCGGCCCGGGGCCGCAGCCTCCCCACATTAACATCACAAGGGCGCCCGGCGCCGACCGCGGCCTTGCCACCTCCGCGCAGGACTTCACAGCGGCCTCTCATCTGCTGACCCCGCGGCCTGGGCTCCTGCGGCTTTCCCTCCCCACCCCCGCATCCGACCCTGGCCCCACCGCCACTCTCCCCCGACACGCACCGGGTCTTCTTAGACCGCAGGTGACCCTAGCCAACTGCACCCCTAGCAGGCTCCGTAGGAAGAGGGTTTGGGGAAGCGCGGGTCTGAGATGAGCCGGTGCTAGGACAAGGGCGCCTCCTCTTGGGGAAAGGACAACACCAAGGCTCTGAAGCCCACCCAAAGCTGATCTCACTCCGCGGCATTTCCCAACCGGGCGCTCCCAGCGTGAGCACAGTGACGCAGAAGTCGATGTTCAAAGACAGCCCCCAACGGGCGCTCTGATTTATACGGTTGTAATTGGCTATAAACCTCTGCAAAGTGGCCATAACCTGCAATGCGGGCCAGCTGGGCCAACAAGAAGGGAAGCGGGAAAAGCGGAAGCGCTCAGAGCTGGGGAAGACTTCACCGCGTAAAGAGACTCGAATAAGACCCCCCATCACTCCTATTGTCACTTCCTTCCCTCTCCACACACATTCCAACATCCTGGCAAACGTAGGGTCTTTGAGGGAACTTCTCTTGTGTCTTGAAGAGAAACACACACACACACACACACACACACACACACACACAACATCCTTGAAAGGTTCAGGAAGAATGACCCCTGTCTGGGGCAGCGGTTGAATCGCACCAGCATTTTCTCCCCCTTTTCTTGCTCTTTCCGCAGACACAAGAGGACTCCCGCAGGTTCTTTCTTGAATAATCCCTTTGTAGACCAAAGGTTCAGGGACCTGGGCGCGCCAGGTCAGCACCTTCTTCCGGCGACAGCAGCTTTCTCGGTCCCTCTGCTCTCTGTAGCTCCAACCCCTCGAATTGGCCTAAATAGCCAAACGTGGCCCCACATGCAGCCTCGCCGCCCTTTCTTTCCACCCGCCTCTCTTTTGGGGCGGCTTGGATGGGGGAGAACGGCACGGGGAGAGATTGTGTAGATACGGCCCGCGGGGAGTCCAAAGCTCCTTCTCGGCGGCCAGGAGCTGCTCAAGGAGTGCAGGAGGCAGCAAGTGAGCGATGTCTTGCTCACGCCAACATTGGCGGGATCTTCCCAAAGGTGTCCCGCGGTTGTGAATGAGGAATTCTTGGAAAGAGGAAGCCTTTCTTCTGCCCTAAATTGAACCCAGGGTGGTGAGACCCCCAAATATCCATTCCCAGGAGCAGCAGCCAGTGAAGCCCCCGGAGCCTCCCTGAACTTGTTCCCTCTCCCTGTCCGGGCCCTAAGCTCCCAGATAGCCTGGGATGCCTCTGTGAGCCCTGGTCGCAGGGCCCTCCCAGCGGCCGTCGCTGGGCGCGCGCCTTCCCAGGGCCCTTGGGTAGGGCGCCGCCACAGCTTACCTTGGCTTCCGAGGGACGGTTGCGCTGGCTTCCGCATCCACTCGCACAGGTTTCGCCGCTGGCCGCCTGGGGACAGCTGCTCCGCAGCGGCTGTGGCGGCGGGCCCGGGAGGGCCCGGGTTAAGCGTCTGCAGCAACCCCGAGGCGCAGGAAGGCGCGGCGGCAGGGTGGTGCGGGTGGTGATGCGGGTGATGGTGCGGGTGGTAGTCGGCAGGGCTACTGTAGCCCATAGCGGCGGCCGGGGAGCCCCCGTTGAGGCCGTGGGCAACCGCGTTAGCTGCAGCCGCTGCGCCTCCTGGCGCGTAGCCGTTCCAGTCCTCTCGTAGCGGGGCACCGTATGCTGCCGGCCAGGACGGCCCCGGGGACTGAGCGCTGTCCAAGTTCGCGGCTGCAGCGGCCGCGGCCGCCACGTGGTAACCACCATAGTCCGGGTACTGCGGGGGGCTGACGAAGTTCTGCGGTGCCAGGTTGAGGCCACCAGAGTGGCGCACGGAGCTGGGGTACATGCTCACGTCCTTGTCCAGAAGGTAGCTCACGTACATGGTGGCGAGGGCCTGAGAGCAGACCTCACCATACTGCCTAGGGAGGAACGCTGAAGGTTGCCGGGGGTGGGGGTGGAAGGGGCGATAGGGAAAGGGTGTGGGGGCAAGAGAAACCTCGGGTGGCTGCGCCCCAGCCGCGCAGTGCTCCACTGGCTCCTCGCGGCGCTTCTGCCTCTGAGGCGGTCCTTCCCTTTGGCCTGCCTCCTCCCTTCCTCTCTTTTTCCTTCTTTCCTCCCACCTCCTTCCCACTAGGCAGCAGAGGCGGGGAAGACCCGCCACAGGCTGGCGTGCGGAGCCCCAGGCCGGCGGCCTTACGTGATTAACGAGTGTTTACAAGACTCTATTAGTAATGACACAGACACCAATGGCAGGAGACGTCGAGGCGCAACGCTCATTCTGCGCACAACCCCCCCAAACCCGATTTGCATTTTAAAAGATAAGGGGCGGGGGAACTCGCGAGAGAGCAGCTCCTGATCACAGCTAAATATTCAAACCTTTATTGTTGAGAGCTTCCTCCTTCCAACCTGGCGCACTTTAACCTCCAATCACAGGTTCAAAGAATGAAATCAAGAGACTTGCCAAAGCCAGGGGGAGAGAAAGAGCTATCTTGTGGGAATCTGGGTTTACAGACAGGAGCAGTCTTGTTTATGCATTCGCCAGGAGGAGGGCGATCAAGAAACTCCTGTCCCAAAAAGAAAAGAAAAAAAATAAAAAGCCATTGCTTTGATGAGAACATTTCTGACCAACCAATGGGATGAGGAGCGGAGCCCTAAAAGAAGGGCCGATTCCTTCTCGCCCTGCACCCCTGGCCTGGATAGCTGCTGCCCCAAGCAACTATCACTGCTAATTATTTATTTTCTTACCAAATGAAGTTGCTCGCCCTCCACAGAAGATAAATTAGGCTGAGTCTTCGAACTCATCTTACGTTTTGGATTTGAATTGTTAAAGCATTTCATTAAAACAATATTCAAGAATCAAACGTCTTAACTTAAACCAATGAGCCTGTGGTAGAAGTTTGGCTAGTGTTTGCCTTGGAGGGCAGTAATTGGAGGGAAATCTGGAGGGGGAGGCCAGCGTGTTGGTAACTTTCTATTTCTTGAACAAAGTACTGATTTCATGGTGTGTAGGTTTTGTGAAAATTCAGCGACGTACACTCATATGTTTATTATTTTAAAGTAAGTGGCTAAAAATCAAGGAAAAAAGGAGTCCAGAGTTTCTGCTAATACATACCTTTGTATTTGTGTCTTACATCATATCTGTCTTAAAAATCCTTTCCCCTTTACAAAGTAAAACATTCTGTTTCTCATCTCCAGGGAATGGGAAGGCAACCCAGGGCCGTTATTAGTTATTGCTAATGAAAAGCTCCGAGGGCACAAAGGCTGAGAAGGAATTCCTCTTCAATTAGGGAGCACTGTGGCCAGAGGGCCCAGATCTGGAAATGGCCATTTGGGGACAGGAGTGTTGAGGTCAGGATCAGGAACTAATGAGACAGGAGTACAGAGGTAGCAGGAATAGGCTTCCACCCATTTCCATCTCCATTTTAGCAATAATTTGGAGAGCACCATTGGTGGTCATTTGCCTCCTCTCTGAGAATTAGCTTTGCTGCAAGGCTTGGGTATAAGGACAAAGCGAGGCAGCTGACTGCCCAGTGTTGCGTTCCCTGGGAACCCAAGTAGGCTGCCGGCTCTTGTTCCTGAACACCTGCAATTGTTGGTTCTCTCAGATATTTGTCACTATTCCCTTCATCTCTAGAGCACTTTCCAGTGTCCTTTATCTTCCTTGATTCTCACATCTCCCGCGATCAGAGACAAAGCTGGTGTCATTACCCTCCTCATTCAGGTGACAATCACCAAGCCATCTAGTTAAGAGACCAAAGCACTATTAGAACTAGCCTAGGGGTGCAGGAACCTGTGCTTTCTGGTTCCTCCAGTGTTTTTGAGTTTTGTCAGGAAGAAGGTTAAAAGTGGGGGTGTCAAGGTTATGCAGGAGTCAGGTGCTGTATTCCCAAGAGGTAGGAGCTGCCACTTGGTCCTCCTGGAGGACTTCCCAAAAGCCTGACTGGGACAACCAAGTGCCATTTCACTTCACAAGAAATAAAGTCAGAATTAAATTGCAAACCCCATTACAGAAACCTAATCCAGGCAAAGACAGAAAGGGATGTTTTCACAGTCCTGATGGGGCAGGAATGTGGGAGGTTAAGTGGTGGGCACTGCAGACTTTTGATCTAGTAAAGATCTTCCTCCTCTTCCTGGGTACAATTCCCCTTTCCGTCCCTCTTGACCCCCTCCCAGGCTTGAGCTCTGGAAGCCCAGGCTGAGGCAAGTCTGTATCTTCGGAATGTTGGCATTCTTTGGAACAATCGCTTTATTAGGGACAGCCATTCCCTGGGCCCTGTGGTGGCCGCTTCCTGAGTTTTTATGACCTCGGCCGCCGGCTGCTGGCTAATTGTCCCCATTTTCCAGCTGTGTCTCTGTGCTCTGCCCTGGAGAAAGGGCTCCAGCCTGTGCACCCAACTGCTTTGGGAGCAACTAGGGTTGCTCTGGCTCTAGTGGGTCAACTTGGGATCACAGAGCTGGAGAAGCCACAGAGAAACCTAAGATTTAGAGTGCTTGAGCCCAAGAAAGGCAACCATGATGAAAACCAATACTTTCATTCATGGCCAAAAAAAAAAAAAAAAAGGCTTCTCTGGCATTAACATGATCCTGCCTACAATCCTAAGGTCTGGATTGTTTGGTGAGGGGAAAGGAGATGGTAAATGATGTCTTTGATAATCTCCTCTGAGTGAAAGTGTTCCCCCAATTTCGTGTTCCCCTCTTTGCCAAGAGGGCCCAGCTGGGTCCCCTGAAGAAACAGGGTTGTAGAATCAGTCCTGGCATCTATAGAAGTTGGCAGATGATAAAGAAGCCTGGGTGTCTTATATATACACAACCCCAGCAGGTTAGCAAGTTGGGGGTTCTTGCCTGTCCTCTAGAGGCCCACTCTAGACTGGGGCAGTTCTCCAGCCTCGGAATGCAGGCCTATGGCCCTGGTGAATACAGGGCCACCTGCATTATGATCCTATTCTAGACTTTCTTATTTGGGGGCCCAAAGTGCTCGGCAACTTCTTAAGAGCTCTCTGGCCTAGGTGAGAATACCCAAGAAGGGACTGGGAAGGGCCTTCCCAACCCTACTCCTGTAGTTGGAGACTCCCTTCCATTCTGTATCTCTCTATCATCCATCCAATGTGGGGTCAAAGAAGCCCGCGGCAATCACTCTGCAGAAGGTGAACTTGTTCAGGAAGCTTGGGGCTGGAATTGGGCTGGGGCTGAGGCTGCAAGCACACAGAGCCACAGCCAGAGCTGACTTCTAAGGGCAAGAGAGGGTGGGAAGAAAGAGATCCAGGTAAATAAAGCAACTGGAAGATGGGTAGGGCAGCCCCACCAGGTTATCAAAGGGATGTCTTTTTTTTTTTCCCTCTAATGATATAGAGGCCATTTCACATTCCTTGAAGAGGAACCCAGCTTCTAGGATCCCCACTGGAAGGGGCTCCAGAGGGGGATGGGGAGCAGGAAGCTGCCGGAAGGGGCGGGTTGCCCTACCAGGCAGATGAGACACTCCTTAAATCCACAGATCATTGACACAGCTCCCTCCCTGCTCAAAGGTCCCCAGTGTTTGCTCCTGCTAAGGGGATCCTGCTCTGCCCAGTATTTGTAGCTCCTAGAGACTGGGAAGCCCAATGGCCCACATAATCCTGATAGGGCAGGCCGTTTGAATTCACCTCAGCACAAGTCTACTTTCTGAATCTCTTTTAGATCAAGGAAATTATTCATAGAATGAAGCCCTTCCAAAACTCCTCTTCTTCCCACACTAGGAACCTTCTCCCCATATTGACCTGAATTCCCAGGAGAATTTAGAAAGAGTGAGAAGGAAGAGAATGTATTCTGGTGAAATTATTCAGTTGGGCAGTCTATAGTGCTATGGGAAAAAAAAAATAACCTGTTCAATCTCTACTTAATTGTGAGTTTAGGGAGACTTTCAGCCATTTCATTCAATCAACAATCACTCACACAAAGAAAGACTCAATAATGGACGATTTGACCCCCAACAACCCCACCCTGCCCTGTCACAGCCCACTCAGCTAACATCTCAGGGAAGGAAATCAATAACAGTGTCCTTTCTGTAGGGCCTCCCCAGAGTCCACCACCTGTCCAGCCCCATCAGGCCACAATGGAGCCAAACACGTTCATCCTGAACAGAAGGGAGGGGCCGCAGCTGCCCACAGCTGCCTGGGCTTCACTCACAGGAGCAGATGTGGCCCTCACCCTACAGAGTGAAGACTATTTTCTTGCTAAGCATTCTGGGTGCCTGGTTCTGTCTACCTGAGGAAAAGTTCCTGAATTCATGTGAGGTCATTGTAGACTACAGTTGTATCGCATCTAAGCAAGATCACAGGAGGACACAGAGCTGTATCACACTTCTCTTTGAGGGATTACTAAGTTTTCTGATTATTGACAGGGAATACATGTTTCCCCCTGCTTCTCTGTTAAAAATATATTCTCATGGTCAGAGGATCAAAAGAAAATTAAAAAGCCTCAAGAGAGGGGGTAATAGTTGGATACAGAAATTTGGTTTTGCTCATTGAGTATAAGTTATCCAAATAACTAGTAGTTGCCCATTTTCTTCCTTTGTTCTGAAATTAGGGTCTGTGGACATTGTACAATTGTATAATACACTGTCATTCTGTCTGGTAGATGAACACAGAGAAAGATTTAAATCCCTGATACAGAGGGCCTTGTGCGGGGGCGGGGAGTCTTATAGATTGGTGCCCCCTAGGGACCCCAGGCTTCCATCCCAACAGAACTGATTGATGCTGGCGAGAACCAGCATCTCTCCCGGTCTGCTTCAGCCAAATGTTACCACCTGGCTTTGGCATGGAGGGCCTTCAATTAGCATTTGTTCACTCACCATTGTCTCATGCCCGAATGACCTTTGTTTATCATATGAAAATTTGTTCCCAGGAAGCTCTACAGGGTAAGTTTTATGTGACTGGTGAGGAAAGAATAAATGTTCCACTCTTCTTGATTGACTAGGCCCATTGACAAGCTGCTTTCTCTAGGAGAGTCAGGGTCTTAAGTCTGTGTAACTCTTCTATTTTAAAAAGGAGAATCTGCAGCCCAGAGAGGTTAGGTGATTT